TGTGTGTGTGTGTGTGTGTGTGTGTGTGTGTGTGTGTGTGTGTGTGTCTGCCCACAGAGACCAGAAGAGTGTATTAGATTCCCTGGAGCTGGAGTTATAGGTGGTTATGAGCTGCATGATATGCACGTTGGGAACAAACTGTGATCTTCTGCAAGAACAGCATATGGTCTTAACCTGAGCTTTTTATTTCAGTAGCCCCACGAAAGAGAATTTTCAAGAATGCAGAATTCTAAGGTGGTGAAATTTCCCTCTCAACAGTTTATTTCACTCTAGTTCCTACTGTCTGCCTGGCTTCTGAGATCTTGCACATAATTCTTATTTTTGCATTTTAATAGATACGATAATTTCCCCCTCTTGATTCTTCTAAGATGCCCCCCCCCAATTTTTTAGTTTCTAGCGTTCAAAAATTATAAGTACTGTAGTCTGGGGGACATTTATCATAGGTGATGTTCTTTGAGCGTTCAAGATATGTGTTTTGGTATCAGACACTAATTTGGTAAAGTATGTTCTTCACTAGTTTATATTTTTAGCCCAATTTTATCAGATGTAACTGAGTTTATTAGGATGAAAGCCAACCATAAAGTAAAGGGCAGCTGTGCTCCCTCCCCTTACCCCCTTCCAGAACATACAAAGAACCTGTTTGAGCTCCCAGAAGCAAAACAAAAGTATGGCCTGGTCACAATGCTAACACTTGTCTGCAGTCTGCCTCCAGCAATGTGTCAGTCAGGTCTTCCTCCCTCTGCCCCAGCTCCCGTGGCAGTTTGCACTTTAGAGTCTCTACCTGGTGAGCTAGGATTTACCATGCATATCCCCAACTGCCTCTCGAACTGCAGGGCTGGGCAGAGGTTTGCCCTGTGCCTAACCTCTCTTGTAAATGCAGAGAGAGTCAGTTTTCCAGCCTGCTCAGTTCTTTACATGTTAGGACAGTGGTGAATTCTAAGCTCTTTACACACAGAACTGGAAAGTACGGTCTGGCTTCTTCACCCAGACTTTTAAGGAATGCTGACTTGAGGATGCTGCCGCCCCTGGTGGATTAATAGGACTCAGTGTTCCACTTTCTTGAATAGAAGCTTTATGACCAGGAATCAGATCCAGTGAATGTGTAGAATGACCTGTGGCCATTTCTTGAGTTTCCTGAAAAGGAAACTGACACTAGCGAAGTTCCAAACTTTGCTGACCCCTGTGAAGACACTGGAATAACAATCTTTCATTCTGTGTAAGAATGTTTTAGAGGTTAACAGTGGTTACTGTAAACTTAATAAAGTAATGAGCCCTACTCACGGAGATCCAAGTATGCCCTCTTTCCGCACAGGAGAATCAGTGTGACTTCTGGCACCTAGAAGGTGGCTACTGAAGTACAAAATGCATTTATTTCTACTCCAATGAGCAGAACCATCAGGAGTCCACCATCAATAGGCAGAGGTGCCAGTTTACAACCACTGTTTCATTTTAAAGGCATCAACCTGTGTGGGTGTCACAATCCCATAGGACATTGCTCTGATGACATCAGGATGATGGTTCTTACTGGGAATGAACTTCAGATATCAGAGATATCTTGATAAGAGACATAAATGCGAAAGAGGGAAACAGAATCCATGAAAGTTCCTGAACATGCCACCTTAATAAGGTTTTTGAGCCACTAAAGGTCCGGGCAATTGGGAGAACTCTTCATGTCAAAGGTACATTTTGCAGTTGGAAATCCTTGTAACTAAAACAGTCCAGACTCTGCTAAGCTGCTCTGATTTTTTAGGAAACACACAGAACATGTGTGTGTGCTGCTGTAAGGAGAGCATCCTGCATTACAGGAAAGATCAGAGCCCAGGCAACAGAAAGTTCTACAACTGCTCCAAACTTAAGCTGCCGGAGCCTTGGTTCCAGAAAAATCTAAAGGTACCCAAGGATGTTCACATTGTGAAATCCCTCTATCATGCTCCAGCACGGGTCCCTAGTGCATGACAACAGAGTCATGCTCTTTTCAGTAGCAGATGTCCTTTAGGGGAGTGGATGGCTTACTTCTAGGGACCAAGACCCTGACCAAAGAGAATCGAATGGTACTCAGACACACAGTAGGTATTGTGGAATCTACCAAGTTGTACAGTTGGACAAATACAAAGATATTCTTAGATATGTATCAGTCAAGCAAGGCATGAATAAGCAGACGAATAGTGTAAACAAAAGGCTCGTTTCCAGAGCTCCAAGTCTCTCTTGTGCATAGCCATTTCTCTCATTTATCCTTTAAATCCTATCCGTGGCCTCTGAGAATTCCTCAAGGAAGAAGAAGAAAATTCCAGTTTGGTACTAGCTGGAAGTAACATAGTGAACAGTATCTCTGCAAAGGGGTGACCTGAACAGAAAAATGAAACTTTCGTAGTAGACCAAGCCTTTGGTGGTACACTTCCCACCTTCCCTCTTGTAGCAAGGCTTAGGGGAGATCTTCAAACTGTGGGTAGCAGCTGGGCTGGGTGATAGGGACTTTGCAAAATTAAGCTGAAGCATTGATTACAAGGACATTGGGATAGATCTGGATGGACCTTTCAAAATACATAAATATCACAAGTCGATTTTTCCCATCTGCAAATCAAGAGGCGCACACTACCAACAAGCTTTTAGTTATGAGGAGGATGAGAGAACACTGTAGGAGTGGCAATGACATCAGAATAGAGACTGAACAGGCCAAACAGCATAGGATTCCCCCCTCAGTCATCACTGCTGGTCCTCAGTGGGACAGATCTTTTTAGGAGGGAGAAGATAACCAATCTGCCTACCCCAGATATGCATTTATCCTCTGGCCATGGTGCTCTGCCCGCACCATCAGCAGGGGCTGCTCAGTACCACCCATTTCACACAACACTGCTTTTACTGAGGTACTTTAGTGCTCAGGAAGTGAGACAACAAACAGAATTGTCAGCCACAGGACAACACCAACCGCCCGCCCAAATGTTTCACAGCAGTGTCACTTACCAAGTAAGTTAATGACGCCATCATTGTAGCAAGCAAAAAGTTTGATAAGATCTTTGAAAAGAAGCATAAATGCAGCATTTATGACACCATTTGTTAGTTCATTTGGATGCACCTAGAAAAAAACAAGCATTTAACTTTAGCTGTACAACATCAAGTTAGCATTTTTCTCAAGTCATATTAAAATGTCTCAAATGACCGGTAAAAATATTGGGTAACTTTTAGTAAACCTAGCAATACCAAAGGACTGGTTGCATATGCTTCAGTTGTCTAAGCTAGAACCCTTAGTAAGGAAGAGAAAAGCTAAAAAGAGTTAAATAAAAAGAAAGAAAAAAATGTTAAGATTAGATATCCAATAAAGATCTATCGAAAACCAGTGTGATGGTTTGCAATTCCTACTTAAAATTTCACAAGAGTTAGTTGTTACGTTAGGGACCAATTATAGCCTAAGTCACAGAATCTCAACAAAGACTTTAAGCTAGGGGTATTTGAGGAAAGTGCTTTAGACATCTATCAAATTACAGAGGAGCTGACAATGAGAGCTCAGAACTTTCCTACATGTCAAAATATTTTATTTTCACAAGTCAGGACCTATTAACTGTCATTTATAAGTTAATTATACATTTACAAGGAGTGATAAGAAGAGGGAACTCCCATATGGTGTTGACCTAGTTTCCCCCAAATGTAATGAAGAGCTCTCAGAACTATAGTTAATCATGCCACAGCCAGGACACTGAATGACAGTCAGCTGACTGCATTCTGAGCTTCCTGGGTTTACTGGTATAGACTTTGTTGTATTTAGTCCTATACAAATTTCTCACACACATGTATCTGTTACCACAATCACGTTCAGGTATGTTTTTTTAAATTATCGTTTATGGTGTGTGACTACTTTCCTTGCATGTATGCCTGAGTACTACTGGCATGCCTGGTGCTCAGGGAGGTCAGAAGAGGGCATCCGAACCCTGGGGAACTGGAGCTACAGATGGCTGTGAGATGCCATGTGGGTGTGGGGATTTGAACTCAGTTCTCTATAAGAGCAGCTAGTTTCTTAAACACCGAGCCATCTCTCCAGCCCCAACAGGTATGCTTTTTTTTTTTCCTTCTTTAAAACAAATAATACCGACTGACTTTACCACAAAAGACCTGCTATGTATGACAACACAAACTCTTCTCTCTGGTGGACAGGGTCCATAAGTAGTCCACGTCAGATGGTTTCTGACAGGAAAGCACATTCTCTCAGGTAGTTCTTTAGCTACCTGAGGTACATCTTGTGCATATGTCACCCTATAAGCACAGGAGGCCATTGTTGTGCTCAGGACAGAAGGCCCTAAGAATGCTGTGCTCATCTTTTTCTGACCTTAGGAAACAGTCTGTAAACTCTGGAAAAATCTGGGAGCCTAAGAGACTAAATGAAATATTCTTGCACTTCGTCTACATGAGAACGCTCTTCAGGTGACCCCGTGGCAACTTCTGACCTGCAGCCAATTATACTGGCCCTTCAAAGGGCCAATTATACAGGACGTATTCTGAGAGACACGTACGTCAAACTCCAGCAGTGCGTCGATCTGCCCCTGCAGGATTGGCATGCTCTTCAGGAGCTTTTCAGGAACCATTGTCCTCATTACACCGTCAGCCCTGTAATACCACGAACAGAAGCACACATCCTTGTGAACACCGAAAATATAGGGCTACATCTTTGCTCTGAGCTGTGTCCCTCATTTGTTTTTAAACCTCCTGAGATCACTTTCAGGCATGAAGAGCTTGTAATGGTTTGCCTAGGTCCTCTGGAGCAGCACATGCACTTAAATTAATGGTTCTCAACCTATGGATTATGACCTCTTGTGGGCCAAAAGACCCTTTCAGATTGGTTGCATATCAGAAACCCTGCATATCAGATATTTACAGTATGATTACTTTTTCATAAGTTTATTTTTTTGATTATGTTTTTTGTTTTTTTGTTTTTTTTTTTTTAGAAATTTTGTATGCATTGCTGTTTGGCTTGCACACTTATTTGTGAGGGTATTGGGTCCCTGGAACTGAAGTTACAAACAGTTGTAAGATGCCATGTGGGTGCTGGGAATTGAACCTGGTCCCCTGGAAGAGTGCTCTTGACTGCCCTGCCATCTCTCCAGGCTCTACATTATGATTCTTAACAGTAGCAAAATTAATTATCAAGTAGCAATGAAAATAATTTTAAGGTTGAATAACTTAAATAACAGCATGAATAACTTCATTAAAGTGTCACAGCATTAGGAAGGTTGAGAAACAATACCTTAAATGCTGAGCTATCTCTCCAGCCCCTCTGTAGATTCTTAAAACTAAAATAATATATCTTTACAATGCTTTACCATTACATTTACTTAGGAACAGACAGAACGTCTGCATGTACTTCTGGCTGAATACTTTGGCTCAAATTAAATCATCATTTAGAGGTAAATAAATGGCAAATGTGATTAAAATTCAATTTTTCTGCTTTGTTGAGACATTTTTAATCAGTAATTGATTTCAATAATTAAATTATGGTATGCATATTTCCTAGGAAAGTATTACCTCTCAAAACTTCATCACCACAGATACTGTTCATTTTCACCTCAATTAAAATTCAAATAAATAACTCCTCTTATCTACCACCACTATACACTGAAATGAATCTTCTCAATTCTCTCAAGTTATTTAAAGATATTTTACACTAAGAATTTTGAGTCAGTTTTAACAAACAAAATATTGCACCACATAATTCCTGAGCAGCAAATCAGCTTTTTATGCTTGAACACACAAAGTACCATACACTCCAGTGTAGCTTTATCCTACTGACTTACTAAGCTGTTTCTTCAGGTGAATGTGAACGGGGCCTTCCAGGATCAGTGCTAGCTGGCATACAAGCTTAGTTACATAAATCATGTATGCCTGGAGGATTTACCGTGCTTAAGTAAATAAGAAGAAGAGCGAGAGCCATACCCTTTCTTCACTCTGGCAAAGTCAAATGCCATCTGTCTGTACGAGAAAGCCTTTTCGTTCAAGTATCTACTGTAACGCCTTATGAATGTAGACATATCATAACCTGAAAAGAGGGAGAGGAGACGGAGTCTTGAACACAATGCCTTCAATTGTACACTTTACAGACTAGTGATTATTCTATAGCTCCTCAAAATAGACAGGGATTGGCATGACTGCCCCTAAGACGGAACATGCGACAGCAAGCCTCATTTACCATGCTTCCTGCAAGCCGAGATTCTCCCATACGGGACACTCTGGCCATTCAATATGGTGATTATACTGTCCTACATGGAATGTCTTTAAAAACAATTTCCCCTGCTTTTGTGTTTACTGTTACAGACAATAGCCTCCTCATACATGACACACACAGCCATTTGACATGGGTCTATCCAGCCTCACATGTAGGTAGCAGCAAGCAAATATGATGAACCAGAGGTAACAGCTCAAGCTGCATTGACCTACAACTTTACTTATTTTTTTAATATTTAATTTTTTATTTTTTAATTTATTTTAAAATCTATTACAATTTATTCATTTTGTACCCAAGCCGCAGGCCCCTCCCTTGTCCACTCCCAATCTCACCCTCCCTCCCTCTTCTCCTCCCATGTCCCTCCCCTAGTCCACAGATAGAGGAGGTCAAGTATACAACAAGGACATTTGCTCAAACATGTTCATAGCACCTTTATTCGTAATAGTCAGAACCTGGAAACAACTCAGATGCCCCTCAATTGAGGAATGGATACAAAAATTGTGGTACATTTACACAATGGAATACTACTCAACAATTAAAAACAAGGAAATCATGAAATTTTCAGGCAAATGGTGGGATCTAGAAAAGATCATCCTGAATGAGCTATCCCAAAAGCAGAAAGACACACATGGTATATACTCACTCATAAGGAGATAGTAGACATACAATATAGGATAATCATACTAAAATCTGTATATCTAAAGAAGCTAAGCAAGAAGGAGGACCCTGGGTACTCAATCCTCAATTCAGAAAGGCAAATGGGATAGACATAGGAAGAGAGGGAGACAGGGGACAAGACAGGAGCCTACCACTGAGGGCCTCTGAAAGACTCTACCCAGCAGGGTATCAAAAGCAGATGCTGAGACTCATAGCCAAACTTTGGGCAGAGTGCAGGGAATCTTATAAAAGAAGGGGCAGACAGAAGGACCTGGGGGTGGAGGGGAGAAGCTCCACAAGGAGAGTGACAGAACCAAAATATTTGGGCCCAGGGGTATTTTCTGAGACTGTTACTCCAACCAAGATAACGTAAAACCTAAAACCCCTGCACAGATGTAGCCCATGGAGATAACCTAAAACCCCTGTACAGATGTAGCCCATGGCAGCTCAGTGTCCAAGAGGGTTTCCTAGTAAGGGGAACAGGGACTGTCTCTGACATGAACTCATTGGCCAGCTCTTGGATCACCTCCCCCTGAGGGGGAGCAGCCTTACCAGGCCACAGAGGAGGACAGTGCGGCCAGTTCTGAGGAGACCTGATAGACTATAAAAACATGTCTTTATGAGGGGAACCCTTTTCTTTTTAATTTGGTTGACAACGTTTACTTCTCTCATCATCTGAATCTTTATAAACAAACTGTGAGGCTCACTCCCAGATCACTCTTCACAGTGCACACTCTAAGTGACAAAATAAAATTAATAATACATATCGTAAGCTGGGAGTGGTGGCACACACCTGTAATTCCAGCACTCTCGGAGGCAGAGGCAGGCGGAGCTCTGTGAGTTCGAGGCCAGCTGGACTACAAAGCGAGTCTAGGATAGGCAGGGCTACACAGAAACCCTGTCTTAAAAAAGCAAAATTTATAAAAAAAAAGAATTAATATATTTTATATGCTTCAAATTTCAACAATTAAATAGTTAATTTAATAGTTACTTTCACAAATAACCAATGGAACTGTCAGTAACAATGACTTTGGATTATTGGCAACCCCAGATTTACATATTCTCACCGTGGGATCCACTTTTATCTAGAAAATTGCTGAGGTTGAATAGCGTATTTCTCGAGGCCAAATACTGAATAAATCTCTGAAAAACAAAAATTAGAGTTAAACAGTAAAATTAGAGTTATACTTGTACATCATACCTTTAAACAATTTTTGATGCTAAAGTAGTATTTTATTTATTTATTTTTATAAATTTTTATTGTGTTTGCTTAGTTATGAAATGTCCTACGCTAATAACTTTCTCTAAGGGAGAAATCATTTTTAAAACTCCAGAAAAATATTCATTGAATAACGATTCAATTCTGTGACCAAAAACACTGAAAATTCAATAGGGTTCATTAGGAATTCCATATAAAAGAAGTAATTTAATTTTATCAATATTTTTCAAAAGGAAACATTCCATTAAAGCAATCTTCATTCCAAGTCACAAAAATACTTTTTATGAAAAAAAATAGACCTCCTGATCCTTTCTCTTAACATTTTTATCCGCTAATACATTCATTTAAAATATATACATTTAAATGGTGCTGTACCACTGAGACGTGGTCCAATTCAAAATGCATTTTTAAAAGACAGCTAAATCCAAGGTTGAAATTATACTCAGGATGACTGTGAAACACGTATTTCTTCCTTTCCTCCTCATTAGTAGGCCCTAAATTACCATCATATTCTGCTACCCAAGCTTCTACCAAGAAACAGTTGTGTATTTGGTTACCTCATTTCCATGCACCATGAGATGGTGTGTGGTCACTAAAGCTTTAAATACCACCACCCAGCTACTGTTCGTCGCCCGCTCAAAGAGGGTGTCAGCCATCTGAGGGATATTGACATTGGTCTCGTTGGTAGCCTGGATCAAATCTATAAAAACAGAAGACATCCAGTAACTACTTGATATACAATTCACCTTAAACTTTAAACATTTAAAGCTCATTACTACAGCATGCCTTCAAAATTATATAGACAAGAGTTAATTAGAAAAAAAATTATACTGTAGCATTCTTACATATGAACACACTAAATATATATATTTATTTAACCAGTATATTTATTCTTGAACTTTTTTAAAAAATGAATTCTCTCCTGTATTTGTGGTTAATTTTTTTTTCAACTTGACACAAGCTCAACTCATGTGGGAAAAGAACACATCAGCTGAGAAAAATGTCTCTATGAGACTGGAGACTGGCCTGTAAGAAAGTCTTGAGGGGGCCTTTTTTTTTTTTTGAAAACCGCTGTGGGTAGCACTGTCCCTAGGCAGGCAAATTTGACAAGCAAGCCAGTGAGCGAACAGCACTCCTCTGCTTCAGAGTCTGAATCCAGCTCCCGCCTGGGGTTCCTGCTCTGCCTTCCTTTCATGGTGGACTATAACCTTTAAGCTGAAATAAACCCTTGAATCCCAAAGCCACTTTTGATCGTGGTATTTTATCACAGCAGTGCAAAAGCAAACTAGGGAAGTGTTCTTGTCTGGTTTTGCTTTGTTTTCTGTTTGTTTTTCTATTTGCTGGTACAGAGGCTATTTTTTAGTGACAAAAACACTAGTTAAGCTTTCTGTCACAATGTCTCAAACATGCAAATACCAATCTAATTCATTGTTTGGAGAAAAAAACAAAACAAAACCAAAAGTGTATTTTTGCAACATAGTATCTAAAAGTAAACTTCACTTGGATCATAACTTTAAAGCATGCTAAGAAATACACTATTGTGTGATTAGCAGAAGCACAAATAGAGACTGAGCAAAGGATTCCACTATATTCATCCACTACATTCATGCAGCTCTCAGAGAGCATGATGCAGTGTTTGGTTATGATACGGCCTTAGATATAGTAACATAGAAACGCTATGTAATACGGTTCACTATCCACATCTTCACATTAATACAACCCAAGGTGAATGGGACAGTTTACATAGCAGAGAACAGGAATGTCCAGAGCTCAGGAAAAAAAAAATGCTTAGTGTTGAAATTTAGCTCGGGCAACCAAAGATTATGTCGTTTTTGATGTGTCTCCGAGAAGACCCTGTTCTATTAGCAAACGAATAGAAGAATTTGTGACAGACATCTAGTTTCAAGCATAAAGTAATCCCATGATACAATCTTAGATAAAAAAATAGAGATTTCTTTTCTTTTTTTCTTTCTTTTTTTTTTTTTATTTTCAAAGACCTGCTGATATGTTTGGGTGAAGCATAGTCTGTATACATTTTGTTCGACAGGCATTCACCGTGTACAAGGCTTGGAGAAGCACCATACAGGAAACAGACCACTTCTACTCTTTTGCAGCTCCTGAGGTCTGTATCTAACGTGAACAGCCCAACAGAAACAGTGGCCTCCAGTTTTGATAAAGAGGTAAGTTTTAGGAGCTACATCTGGAAAGGAAATTTTTCTTGAAGGAAAAGAATTATAACAAAGGAAAATATTGCGGAAAAATACGTTGACAGGATAGGGATAATGGCTGGAACTTCAAAATGATGTGAACTAGCAATTACACCTTAGTCTCTTCATAATTCAGAACAATTGTTAATATCCCCAAATTTAGGTGCTGAGAGCTTTTCTTGGGTGATTGGTTTAAAAATCTTATCTGCAAAATGGAGAAATGTTCAGCTTACTGTTGGGTGAGCGTGGATTTCTGAGTGAAGAGCAGGGTAGGTTTGTCTCTGCATTTGCACCAGAGTTTCCTGGGAAATAAGGTACCACGGGGTTGTCTGCAGGGTGTGTGTGTGTGTGTGTGTGTGTGTGTGTGTGTCTGTCTGTGTGTATGTAGCTGTGTGTCTTTTTTTTTTTTTTTTTTTTTGTCTGTGTTTATTTGTGTCTGTGTCTGTGTGGGGACAGTGCACAGGAATGCAGACACCTGTGGAGGCCAAAGACGTCGAATGCCCTCGAGCTGGAGTTACAGGTGGCTGTGAGCTAACCAACATGGGTGACAGGGATCTAATTAGGGCTCTTAACTACTTAACCATCTCCCCAGTCTGAGAAGGAGTTTAAAATATTTATTTCTGTTATCTTTAATTATATGTGAGTGAGGTGCAGCAGTGGCTAAAGGCATCAGATCTTCTCGGAGCTTGAGTTATGGGTGGTTGTAAGCCACCTGACATGAGTGCTGGGAACCGAACTCAGGACTTCTGGAAAAGCAGTATACAGTCTTAACCGGTAAGCCATCGGCCCTGCCCAAGGAGAAACATTTTAAATGCACACGCAGCACGGATCCTTCAGGATTATACATCTCTGAAGAGCTGTGGTGGCATGGGGGTTAATAATAGGAGGACAGATGTGTGTGTGTGTTGCTTAGGTTGTTTATGGCCCAGGAGGAGCCACATATAACTTCACTGAAGAGTTGGATTACATCTTAGAGGTGGGGGGAGTGGTGGCTTCCAGCAGGCAAATACCAAGACGACTAAGCTTTCACAAGCCACCACATTAGTCTGTGACAACTAAGAACTATGTCCGAGGCACTCACAGGCATCCAGGAGGAATGTGGTGGAACTGAATTAATGAGAATGCAGTGAAGGTTAGAAGAGAGAGAAGGAGCAGAAAGAAGTCGGCAGGTAAAACTGACTGGACTCGCAGGTAGAGGAATGTGTATTAGAGGAAAACAGAAAAGACTTCCCCAGCAATTTCACATCCTGCTCCGGGTACCAGTAAGTGCTACTTACTGAAAGTGGAGGAAAATTGTTTGAAAATTGTTTTGAAATGTATATATATTGTATATAAATATGCAATTTTATAACTATAACCTTGAAATAGCTGTTGGACATCTATGTTGGAATGTGTGATGAGGGACTGGGAATAGACTCTATCTTAAGCTTAACAGGAACATTTGGCCTAGATACAAATTGGGAGTCACTGGTGATAAGAGCTGAAACTACAAATAAAAGATGTAACTCACAGAACATGAAAATAAAAAAAAAAGGAAAATTAAATGAGTAAATAAAAATAAAATCTAAAGAAATCTTAGACTGTTATTTAGTGTCTTCAAAAAGTTCCAGAAGCAGTTAGAGGTCATCAGAGTCAAAAACAGAGAGTGCTATTTAGCTCAACCACCCAGCAGACTACAGCAATGACTAGCTGCTGTGCCTGGCAACGACGCTGTTGAAGTCAGGCCTACTGGAGTGAACATGGAAAGGGAAGGGCCAGAGAGAAAACCTTTTATTCTGAAAAAATGGAAATATCAGGCTGAGGCCACATAGAAAAATCCAGAAAGAGATCACGTTGATAATACAGAGTACGTATAACTGACAGACTGAAACCCTCCGAAACCATGAGCAAAGCCAAATCCTCCTTAGGTTGTTTCTGCTTTTCTTATGAATCACATTGACATGAGAGTAATGAATGCTACTCTGTGTGTCTATGTGTGTACGCGGGTGGGGCTGCTAGGGCGCACAGGCTGGCCTCCTACTTTTGGACTCAAGGATTCTCCTGCCTCAGCTTCCTAGTAGCCAGAACTACAGGTGTGCACCACCTCACCTGGCTATTATACTCATCTTTCCATTTTCTGTGTCAGGCTGACAAGCTACTGCTTCCTAGGAAAATCTGGCCTGTTCTGTTTTTTGTGAATCTTTGTTGGAACACAGCCAAGCTGGGCTATGTATCATCTGAGTTTATTTTCACACTACAATGACAGAGGTGAACAGTTCTATCATTCAACTCAATTCAGTGGTCCTCAAAGCCTAAAGCATTTACTCTCTGACACTGTGTAGGAAACATTTGGTGTCGTATGTCTTTATGTGGGAAGTACGCATGAACTGTTGGTCTTCACAAAGCAATGATGCTTGAGGAAAAGCAATTGATTGAAGTGTTTCTCTCTGATCCACCCATTTAACTGAAGTTTAAGAGACTTCAGACCACAATGATCAGATTTCCTGCTCAGTAGTAGTTACTATCACAAAAATAAGAGAAGGGAACCAGCACGATGCCTCAGTGCTTCCGAATGACACTTGCTACCAAGCCTGACAACTGAATTTGATCACCAGATCCCACGTGACTCCTGCAAACTGTCCTCTGAGCTCTGTTCTTGACATTTATTTTAATTTGGAAAATAATCATTTTCCCTAAAAACAAAGGAAATATTCTGTAAGTTCCTCAAATTTAATTTTTTTTTTTCTTTTTGTTTTTGTGAAACAGAATCTCACTATGTAGCCCTGGCTGGACTGGAACTTGCTATGTAGACCAAGCTGCCCTCAACTCACAGGGATTTAACTGTCTCTGCCTCCCAAGAGCTGTGATTAAAAGTGTGCATCACGGCATCTACTTCTTTTTTCTTTCTTTCTTTATTCTTAGTTACATTTTATTAATAACTCTGTATCCCAGCTGTATCCTGCTCCCTCATTCCCTCCCAATCCCACCCCTCCTCCCTCATCTCCTCCCTGCCCCTTTCCAAGTCCACTGATTGGGGAGGAACTCCTCCCCTCTCATCTGACCCTAGCTTATCAGGTATCTTCAGGACTGGATGAATGAGGGAGGGAGGGCTTGGGAGGGAATGAGGGAGCGGGGTACAAAGTTAATAAAATGGAAATAATAATAAAAAATGAAATAAAATAAAAACTGCAAAAGGTAAAAATTAAAAAAAATTCCTCCTCTGTGGCCTAGCAGGCAGGGTTGCTCCTCCCTTGGGGGGTGGGGAGTTCAAAGAGCCAGTCACTGAGTTCATGTCAGATGTAGTCCCTTGGTTACTGAGCTACCACGGGCTACATCCAAGTAGAGATTCCGGTTATATCCATACATGGTCCTTGGTTGGAGAAACAGTCTCATATAAGACCCGTGTGCCCAGATATATTTGGTCCTTGTGGAGCTCCTATCCTCTCCAGGTCATATTAACTCCCCCTTCTTTCATATGACTCGCTGCACCCTGCTGAAGGTTTGGTTATGAGTC